GGGGGAGGGGCGGGATTGGGGGGGAGGGGCGGCTGGGAATCCTCGGTCCCACAGATCCCAAACCCACGGATCCCAAATCCTGCAGATCCCAAATCCTGCAGATCCCAAATCCCGCAGATTCCAAACTCATAGACCCAAATCCCACCGATCCCGACTCCACAGACCCCAAACCCAAAGATCCCAAACCCACGGATCCCAAACCCCGCAGATCCCAAATCCCGCACTCCCCGGTCCCGCTTCTGGGAACGCTCCGGGGCTGCACCGGGAGCGGTCCCGGTTCCGGTCCCGGTTCCGGTGTCGGTTCCGGTGTCGGTCCCGGCAATGGAGCGGTCCCGGTTCTGTGGCGGTCCCGGTACCCGGAGCGGTTCCGGTGTCAGTACCGGGTGCGGTACAGGGAACGGAGCAGTCCCGGTCCCGCTCCCGGTGTCGGTCCCGAGAATGGAGCGGTCCCGGTACCGGGAGCGGTATTGGTATCAGTACCGGCTGCAGTACGGGGGAACAGAGAGGTCCCGGTACACGGAGCGGTTCCGGTGGCGGTACCGGGTGCGGGGCGGGGGAACGGAGCAGTCCCGGAACCGGTTCGGGTGTCGGTCCCGGCAATGGAGCGGTCCCGGTTCCGGTCCCGGGAGCGGTTCCGGTGTCAGTACCGGTTCCGGTGCAGTCCCGGTTCAGCCCCGGTGCAGTCCCGGTCCCGGCAGCAGCAGCAGCAGCAGCGGCGCCGCTCCCGCGGGTCTCTGCCTCTCCCTAGCGGCTCCTCCCGGCAGCGGCGGCACCGCCCGGGACGGACCGGGGACCCCCCGTTCATCCCGGCCCATCCCGGTCCATCCCGATCCATCCCGGTCCATCCCGGTGACCCCCGGTCCATCCCGGTCCATCCCGGGGACCCCCCGTTCATCCCGGCCCATCCCGATCCATCCCGGTCCCTCCCGGTGTCACCGGGGCAGCGAGGGAAGCAGGAATCTCTCTTTTCTTGGATTTTTGCCCATTTTTGCCTTTATTCCACAATTCCACATCGAACACCGGCCCCGCCACCCCTCCCCCCGCTTTTCCTAAAGGGAAACTGAGGCACAGCCCATTCCCCACCCCAAAGGAGCCCTAAACCCCCCCTTCCCCCGAGAAGGGAAACTGAGGCACGGCCCATTCCCCGCCCCAAAAGTTTCCCAAAGCACCATTTCCGAGGGGGGAAACTGAGTCTGGGAGGGCAGAGCCTCCTGAACATCAGCTCCCAACAGGGGAAACTGAGGCACAGACCCACCAGTCTCCCCTCTCCCCGTTCCCAACTGGGGAATTTGAGGTGTGGGTTTGTCCTGTGCCTTGGAGTGTTTGTCTAACCCCGCTCCCGAGTGGGGAAACTGAGGCAGGGCCCCATGAATCCCTTGTTCCCCCATTCCTGAGGGGGGAAACTGAGGCAGGACCCCATCAATCCCCTTTTTCCTCATTTCTGAGGGGGGAAACTGAGGCAGGGGCCATCCCCCTCATCCCCCCCAGTTCCCAACTGGTCCCG